CCTGCTCTCAGTATTACGACTGAAAACACCATGTGTCAGAAAATGACTGATTCATTCGTCCTTTGTTCTGGACCTCCTTCTAGAAGGTAGCTGGGTAATATAGCACAGTACAAACTCTCTATCAAAAGAGAAAAGTAGAAAAACTTTGCTGAATGAAAAGTCTATGCTCAAATAATTCATAAAACATTAGAGCTTAGACAAAAAAAAATCTTAAGAACAGAATAATCTAAAAGAATATTGCAGAAGATTAGACAAACAGGACATGAAAGAAGAAAAGTTATACTAAATACATATTTCATTTCTAAAGTCTGGATCTGGCCTCCTTCCTGCTTTCTGATCCTGTTCCAAGTGACAGAGAAGTCTCACAAGAAGGAATGAAGTAACTTTTGCTTGCTCTTTGCAGTTATTTTGGTCTGCCTCAAACTTCCTAGCAGCTCTGCCGACTATCAGGTCAAAGCTTGGTACCTGGGAGCTGGGCATGTGAAAGAAGTGTGGCTCCACCACGGGGTGACACAGCAGTTCCTGTTATTTAATCCTGCTCAAATGAAAAGAACATTATCTATGGCAAGAAAGGTAAGTGTAGCAACCTGGCCTCCAGGTTGCCTGTAGGCCACCTTGCCTGCACAGGAACTTGTCCTCCTGTTTTTTGTTTTTTGTTTTTTGTTTTTTGTTTCCACATACACAGTGAAGGGTAAGATCTTGCTTTGAGCTGCTTTTTCTCCATCTTTCCCCCATACTTTTCTTTTGCATGTGTTGGCCCAGAGAAGGCATCCCTCTGTACCATAGAGCAGGAGCTGGTTCAGGAAGGGCCACCTCTGCCCGTGCCATTTGCCTCTTTGGGGCTATAACCATGACTTGGATCAGCTGTGGATCTAGCACAAAGAGCCTTGGGCAACGTTTCATTGTTAAAGAGATGAAAAGAAGGCAACTTCACAATCTGATATACCATAAAAGCAGTGATTGGGCATAGACTGTTGACCTTCACAGGGTTGCCTAAATGCGGGTGTAGCCAATGCTGATAGCGACAACTTGTAAATCAGACACTGGCAATCAGAGCTGTTAAATCAGAGCTCAAGATTAGTACTGGACTATGGTACAAAGTAGGCAGACCTCCTTGCCTAGACCTCCAGGTTTAGCTGCTGCTGTTATTGGAAATGGGAAGCGTGCAGTCCCCCCATCCGTGACACTGTTCTGGCTAAGGCACGACATCTGGCAGCTGGGACTGGCTCAGAAAACACATGGATGAGCACTACCAGTGACACTGCCGAGGCCTGATGCGTTGAGGACAGCCTTGTGTCCACCTTATCATCAAGTGCTTCTGCTGAACACCAAAGTGCCCTGATTTCCCAAACAGATTGAGCACTTGAGCAGTGTTTAGGATCTTACAGCTGTTTCTATTAAATTTTCACTGATGGCAAACTTAAGAGAGACACGCTGAGGTGTTAAAATAAGCAGGGATCAAAATCACTGCAGTTCTGCTGCACGTAAAAGCAAAGGCTGCAAGGAATGGTCCCCACAGAAGGGGTGGTGGGGCTCAGATCCTTGTGGAGGTGCAGAGTTGGGGCCAGGATGGCACAGCACAGCCCTAGCAGGGGATTTCTTGCCTCTAATTCTGTATTGGACATCAAGAAGCAGCTGTGCTCGGCCTTCTGCACTGCGATGTCCCTAGAAGATTTCACTCCACCATCACCCCTTGTGAAGCTGTATGCAGATTTCACACAGGTGCATGGGGACCGTCTGTAGCAACATAACTTTCTAACTTCAGGTGACTGGTGCATCTGCTAGAGAATGTTTTGTTAGGCAACAAAACCAGCCAAGTGATGGTATCAGTTTTACCTCTCAGGTGACTGGTGCATCTGCTAGAGAATTAGGCAACAAAACCGGCCAAGTGATGGTGTCAGTTTTACCTCTCCATTCATTAGTCAAATGTGACAAGATTAAAATGTCACACTGCCTTAGGGCATTTTTGAAAAATGACGAAACTCTTGTTTGACAGTGACACTTAAAAGCATTCGGTAACCTGTGGTTGTACATGGAAATTGTTTCGTATAACCAATACATGTGATTTCATCTACATATTTTGCATAATTTTGCTCTTCCTTTTTGTACTTGCTGCCTGAGATGGCTATGGATGGGATGAGTATTGTGACAGTTCCAATGCATGATGTACATGGTGCTGTGTTTAACCATACTGAGAAGAGAATGGTCATCCTGAAGTGATCAAGAAGTGGCAGGGCAGAGACAGGTGAAGAAAAATTTGAGGAGTCTTTTAAGGTGGCAGAAAAGGGTCACTCACCAAATGGGAGAAGGTAAGGAGTTCCAACACAGAGGCAAAAGGAGCTGAACTCATGGGGGCCAGGAGTCTGGTATCCGGCCACCAAAATTCATGTTCTACCGACACTGATAGTAGGGCTGGAGAACAGGCCAAAGAGAAGTTGCAATTGTGAGAGATCTGTGTAGTAGATCTCTGCAACAGGCATGAAATTTCTCCAACTTTACCTCTCCTTGCATGTGTACATCTGGTTCAACACGTGCCATATGGAAACACTGAAGCCAGTGCTGTAATGCACACCAAGAAGGAGATTAAAGTTGCATGGAGGATTTGATTCTGTAAACACATGCTCTCTTTGTATTAGACTAACCTAAAAATTGTAAATTTGAACCCAGTCCTGTAAGGCACTGATTATCCTCTTCGTTTTTAAATCAGTTCAGGACACTCTGCCCTTTCAGAGTAGGCCCTGTATTCCAAATATAGGAAGCATTTAAGAAGGGAGATCTATTTCAGTGTAATTATCCTGAATTTCCATGCTGACTGACACGCATGATAACAACAGAAAATGGTATAAAAAGTAATTGAGATAAAGAAGAGAAGTGGAATTTTCCTGGCTACTGTGTAGCTTCTGTTTTACACCTTGACCGTTTCAATTGTGGCTGATTAATTGAACTCCAAGTGATTAGATTAGGTCAATGTGCTGACTCAAAATGCAATAGAAATATATGATGTAATGAAAGGGGAAAATCAGGGCAAATATACAACATATTTTACCCATTAACTTTTTTTGCTAGGGCAAGGTTATGCAATTTTATTAACCCATACTAAGTGCATATGGCAGAAATGATGACTACAAAATAAACCTTACAAAACTTTATATTTGAACTACTGCACAAGCTCAAAACAAGACAGAAACAGGAGTCATTATGCCTCCGAACATACTTTATACATCTAAAATACACAAAGCAATACAAGCTGCTGATTGAGGAGAAATTTTTAAGGATTTGGACCCTAAGTTCTGAAGCAATGGCTAAGGTCTTCAGAGCCAGGAGCAAGAGAAAAGCGTGGAACTCCTCACCACTGAGAGATTCAAAATTCTTTCTGAATATCAGCATCCCATCAGTCCTACAGCTGACTTTTCTGGATGTTGAATTAGAAGGAAGCAAGCACAGAAGCAATGTCATTATTCCTTGTCAGTAAATCGGCTCAGTATCAGGAGTTTATTGGAAGAACTTCTCCAATCATTAACTTCTTATCATGGGTCATGGGAGGTGCCTTTTGCAGCAAGCTCCCATGACCAAACCTAAGTTATTAAGAAATTTGTTATTTAAGATATAAGAGGAACTGAAACATTACTAAACGTGGGAAAATCCTTATCTACTCCCTTTTTTTAGAAAAAGGTTTGCAGAGAAGTCCTCAAGTTGAGCTGAATATATTCCAGTGGCTCAGCTGAATAGATTGTTTGGGTTTTTCAGTAGGAATAGTGAAGCCTCTGGAAGGCTGAGGAAAAGAATGTAAACATGAGTAAAGCTCAGTTTGCAAATGATTTTCTTATCTCATGAAATCTCAGGAATTTTTTTTTTTAGACTTAGAGAAAACAATCCCAATTTCAGATGAAAAACAAAGTCTGCAAGTCTTGGAATCAAATCAACCTGAAAAATTAAAAAAAAAAAAAAAAAAAAAAAAAGGAGGCCTGTGAAAATGAAAATTGAGAACGTAAAGCATTCCAAAATGTTTTACTTCAGAGCTGAGATATTAAGTTGAATGTTAAAAGCACATTTTTGAGGTCATTTTGAGCAAAAATGGAGCTTTCAGTTTGAAAAATGCTGAATGATGATTTCCACAGATTCAAAAAAACCCCCCAAATTTTCAAGTAAGTAATTCAAAACCTAGCTTTACTTGCCTGTCACTTTTGTTTTCTGTTTTATTTATTTATTTATTATTTTGAATATTTTCTGTGGAAAGATTTCAAAATTCTCAACCACTCTTAGTCATGAAATATTTGGATTTAAAGACAATTTGAAGTACCCATCTAAAATTTCCAATTTTTATTGTCCATACTCCTCTTATGGAGACGTATGACAGCTTACAAACTGGTCTTCTGTCCCTCTGTTTCCAAGATGTCTCAGGCTGAAATTCTAAAGTGTTCAAAAATTTATTCCATTGACATCACAGTTTTGAAGCATTCAGAATCACTTTGCACTTTTGAAGATTCAAGCCACCATACATTTGGAAAACAACCCCCTATATATTTTGTTCACACATGTAAAGGAAGACACTGTTTTTGTACTTTTTTGAAAGTACTTCTGGATTTAGCCTTTTTTTTTCCTTTAGAAGCAGCAAGTGCTTGCAACAAAGTATAATTTATATGGTAATCATATTAATAACCTTTTATGGGAGTATTTAATTGTTATTTTCTGTAATTAAACTACTTGAGTAGTTTAATCTCCTTTCTTTATCTGGAAATGATAAATGGCATGTATTTTTCATGACAGTGCATTTCAGTTATTTATTAAGGTACCTCTAATATTTCAGTTTTCTTTAACAACTAACCAGAAAAATCAATGTGTGATAGGACTCCACAGTGTGTAGCGAAGTATATAAGCATGCAGTTTGTATTGCCCGGTCTTTCTCTGCCACTTCAAACTGTCTGCCTTAGAAGTGACTCCTAAATCTGCTTGTCATTTCACTATTATCTGATCTGCAAGAATCCGAGACTTAAGCAAACATGTCCAGCCCCGGTAAGGCAGAACTCATTCATGTGTTTAAGGGAATTCCCTTTACCACTAGGTCATCTCCAGAACTTTTAAAATCCTTGGATAATTTTGATGCTAGAGAAGATGATGTCCTTTTGGTTTCCTACCCAAAATCTGGTAAGTTCTGCTTTTAGATATCTGTCAACTGCAATAAATCTTGATTGTTTGTTTAGTGTTCTCTTCTTAACAAATGTAATGGAAAATGTCTACGTGCAGGAGGCAGAGAAGGATATTTGATTATGGGGATGCATTATTCAAGTGCTGAAGTACAGAAATTCAAGTCATTTATCTAAATTTTGATTCTGTAATTTTAAAAAGTCATGGATGTTTTCATATTGGAAATCAAATAAAGAGCTCTTTCTTAATAAGAAAAATCCATACTTGAAGGATTTGCCTGAAGACTTATTTTGTAGTTAATTATGAGCAACTCAGAGTTGCATTAAGTTGTATGTTTCATGCCTGAAGATGTGTTCATTTCTCCTTCCTTCTTCCTGCTTCTCACTTACACAAGACACACACCAAGCTGAGCTAGTTACTTTCCAAAATGTATAGGCTAGTTATTCTAAAATAAACGATAATAGTAATAATGTAACTCTCCACTCCCTGCTGAGATGTAGTTCTTCTAAAGAGAAAATTTTAGAAAAACAACTTGCTTTGGTATTAATAATACTGAAGCCTTCTCAAAGAATTGTTTTATACTTCAGCTACAGGCCTATTTTTTCATTATTTACACATTTGGAGTCAATGGGTTTATTCAATTATATAAAGTTTCTTGAATCTGGAGGCTCAGGACTATCACTTACAAACAAGCAAGCTATTTCCAAATGCAAACTGCAGGATCCATATATTTTTTTCAGTAACAAATCTTCCTTCTTTCTTTCTTCTTTTTTAATTTTTTTTCCTTCAAAATAATTTTTGAAGGCACTCACTGGCTTGCAGGAGTTATAACAAAGCTTTATAAAACTCAAGTTACACTAACATCCCCCATTGAATTTGGAGACACTTCCAAACTGGAGGAACTGGATAAACTTTCATCAAGGAGAATCATCCCAACACACTTAGACTACAACATGCTACCTCAAAACTTTAAGAAGAAAAAATGCAAGGTAAGATATATTATGCATCTATTAGACATCTATTTTATCTCGTTGATCCGTTGATCCCTAATCACTCTTAAAGTTCAATTGTCTTTGGACCAAATTTATTATTTGCCTTTGGAGAAAATTTGGTTTGTAAAAATTCTGTCATAAATCTACTTATTTAAGTAAGTTTTTCTAGATGTAACAGCAGTAATATTGATGGTTAGCCAGAAGAATATTATTTCAGGGCCTAACATAAGGTAGTAAATCTGATTTGTGTGAGCTGTTTAAAACTCCCAGAACTCAGGGTCTAGAATTTCACTAATTACCTGTCAGCACCTAGAGCTAAAACACATACAGGTTTTATGAATCCAGGCAGCATAGATTTACCACTTGCAAACACAGTTTGCTCAGTTGTTTTACAGACACACAGCAATAACAAGCAGCCTCAGTGGAGACTTGGTGAGGGTTTGCTCCTGCCCCACAAAATAAAACGTTGATATCTTTTAATAAGAAATATATCATTAAAGGTGGAGTGAGACGCGTGTCTCATCACCCCACATCCTACTAACTGGACCACCTGCTTAGAAAATAGTCATCTTAGTATCAATAAGCTTTCCTGGGGATGAAGGTACTTGCCTTTCCTGTAGAAGCTTTGTGAAGACCCTCTAAAAAGATATTGGGCAGATATAGGAGAACAAATGTGAAAATGATGATGGTCCAGTAGTTAAGATGCTTAATGCGGTAATGTGCTTCAAAGGTGGGTTTTGATATGTTTTTCTATTTTGTTATTGTTCCATATAAAGCAGGTAAACAGTCTTAGGAACCAGGATCATGTTTTTTTCACTGCTCTAGATCATCATTACTGACCATTCTGTAACAAGAAATCACTTGCCTCCACAGATACTATGTATGTAGAATATCCTGTACTGACCAAGAGAATTGGCTTGAAACGGTTGTCCTGATGATTAATCCAGCCATTTCTACCTCCCTATTGATAGTACTTTGACCATGTGTGTTTGGTGAGGTCCACAGCTAGCAACCTGAAACCCATGTAATGACTGAAATGCAAAGCATTCCGCTTTTGATTTCTAACTGTATTTATTCACTTCTTGTCACATTTTCCTGTTATCTTTCTTTAACACATTATCGTATCTTTGTATCTGTGCTGTGTATCTGTATTTTATCTGTGCTTGGTAAGTCACAGGACTCGGTTTCCAGTCACAAAGCTGATGGGTTTTACCTTCAAGTGAGTGAAGGGGATTCAAAGCACAGTTTTTGGTTCCTGCCACGCTAGTGAGGGAGAGCTGTAAAAGAATCACCTCTATGTCTCAGATTTTATAAAGTGAAAATCAAGAATTTTGAAATTTCAGGATTAATCAGATCCAGACTATTGGGTCATGCCTAGTTTAAATGGAATGGTAAAATTTACATTTGTCATACATTATGTAAATATCAGGTGGTAAATGTTTTATCTGTCAGGTATATGAGATACCTAATACGCTCTTGAGTTAAAATTCAAACAGTTTATTTCAGAACATATAATTAGCCATGTCTAAGAAACATTTGTCCATATGTAACTGTACAGTAACCACTGCTGACTTCTGCCTGAAAAGGGACAAATACATTTCTGCCTTAGTGACATAGTCACTGATAAAAGAATCCTAAAGAAAAGGGTTTTGGCATTGCAATGACACATTTATTCACACATATGAAATAAAGGAAGAGTATTATTGTTTTCATTTACAGATGATCTACATCAGCAGAAACCCCAAAGATACTGCAGTTTCCATGTATCATTACTACAGAGATAATCCAAACCTTCCCACTGTAGATACCTGGACTGCTTTCTTTGACTTGTTCTTAGATGGAGATGGTAAGAATAAATGCTATGTTTTCTTCTTATAGCCTATGGTAATAATAAATATTATATTTTCTGCCTGCAGTCTATGTTAGCTTGTCATTCACAGAAAGGGTTGAGAAATATTAATGAAAAGTGAAAACACCTTATTGAACTCCTTATTCATGTGCCCTTGGATTATTTTTAGGCTAAATTTTAATGTCAAATCAAAAAGGGGCAAAAAATATGATATTACTTTTCACCCTCCAAGGAGGCATGTTGACAAGCATCTAAATTATATCAATACTCCTGATCTTTGCGGGTTGATGTTCTTTGACACATCTGTTTGTTAAAAAAAAATGCTCTCACAAACAAGTTGCTGATTTACTTCTTCCCTCAAAACCAAACACACAATCTGTTGATTCTAAAGTAGATTTGCCAGTATCAAAACATTTTCAGTTATGTCTTGTGAGCTGCAGTAGTGGAATGGTTTACACAAAAATATATATATTTAATCCTTGCAGAGGAAATACATGTATACAACTTTAACCAAACAGGCAGGCAGGACCTCTGCGGCCAGAGCATCCCTCCCCCTGGCAGGTAGACCAACAAGGTAGACTTTTCAGTTGAACATGCCCGGAGAGCTCTCCGGACAGTAGTCCCACCAGAGTGTGGATACTACATGGCATGTGGGGCCCTACAGAGATGGTCCCCAAGCTGAACTGAAAGCTATGCTTAGGGACTTGCTCTCTCCTTAAATCCTTTATGATGGTGATGATGGCCTTGGGTAGCCTTTCAAAAGGAGTCTAGACACTCTCATAAAGTGTCTTGCATATTGGCTACCTGATGTGTTGTTTTAGTAGCAGAGTCCAAAGACTAAGGACAAGAGTGAGATTTTTATTAGTGGCAGTGTTAGCGTGGAAGCTGATCACAGGAGCATGTTCCAGGTGCCCACTCCCACTTTTAGTGTTTTATTGCACCTTTGAGGACATGTGCTTATGCTCTACAACCACAGGGATGATAAGAGCAACAATGACCGATGAGATGATAGAAAACATCTGAAAGAAACGTGCTGTTGCAGTCACCATGGGCTTACATCAAAGCTCAAGAAGTCAGTTTTTATTTTCTATTGACTTCTGCAGGCTTTGGTTCAGATGCTGTGTTTCTAGTTCACAGCAGCTCTTAGACATGTTCTTCAAAGATTTGTAGGATCTGGGCCTGTTTAGTATCAATTTTGAACATACAAGAGTCTAAAAAAGAAGGTGGATTATATAAACTTTTTAAAAAAGCACCTCCTATTTATCTGACTAGTAACTTGCTATTTTCTGTGTGTATATGCATGGTGTAAAAGATGATTGTGTTGTTACACGAGAATTTGTGTAAGAGGTGATCTGTCAAGAGACTTTGTCATTGCTGCTCTTAACAGAAACACATGAAAGTCCTGCTGTTTCATTCAGCCCCCCTCACATCCTTTCATAGTTAGTTGGAGTTGAGAACAAGGGCAAGGACACAGAGGCGATGGTGACACTGTCACTGGAGTCTCCTGGCAGGTACTCTGTACCCCGGAAGGCAAAACGATCACTGGCTTTTGATTACTACAAACCAGATCATTCACCCTGATAGTGAGAACCAGTGCAGTAAGAACTCAAGTGCTTTGGGGCAAAAGAGACAGTGATGACCTAATCTGAGAACCTACTGGACAGAAAAGTCATGGCTGTCATTTTTCACTCTATTTTGCTTTGTTTTTAATGGACAGACTTGCACTCTTTGCGTATTTACTTTCTGATACTTTGAAGCCTAGATGGCTTCTTTCCCTGTTAGAAATATATACATATATAAAACAGGAACTCCAACCCTACATGCAAATGTGGAGATCTTCCCTTTCTTAGGCCCCAGATTTGGGCTGAGGAGAAGCAGGAGCAGCCACTGTCTGCTTCACCCATGCGGTTAGCCAAGAGAGCAGGGTTTAACTGCACATTAATCTTGCAGTTAGACAGTGCTTTATGTGCAGGAAAAGACTCTCTTGGAGAATTCAGCAAACTACTTAATTATAGCACAAGGTTAGCAACCAGAATGATGCCCATTACAACGTTGTACTTTTCTAGTAACAACCCAAAAAAACCAAATCTGACTGTGATTGCTCCTTCTGTGCTTTTTCTCTTTGCTCTAGCAGAGGATTTCAACCGAGCCTTAAAACAGAAGGGTCTAAGTTACAAATACTTCACATTTTTCAAATGAAGAGTGAAGAGAGTTGGATGTGCTCCATGCTGAGGGGTTTGGTTTTTTTCAAACAGCATGGTCCACAAAAAGCACAATATCAGCTCTAGAAAATGCTGCTGTTTAATGCCCAAAAAATCTCCTTTGTTTTTGTCATCTGGCTTCTGATCCATTCTAGATACTCCATCCTTCTGTAGTCAGTCTTGCTATCCAACTACAAGAGTCTTTTTTGTTGTTGTTTTTTTTTAATCTGTTGTTTTTTAACTCCCATTGTCCTCCCATAGTTCAGCAAAAGGTACCACAAATCATCTATAAAACCATAGGATCTCTGTTGTTGCCAAATTATGTATTTGGATGATAGCATCTTAGGCACATAATCTTAAAAATACTACAGTATTCTCCTCTGTTGGGCTGAAAAAAAATTAGAAACAACAATGCAGTGCACCAGTGCACCTTTTAAAAAAGATCATGTATTTCCTAGTGAAGTAATTACCTTTCTATTGAGACCACAGACATGTAGACATTTTCTAAGATACTCAGATCTTATTATGTCATTATACTAACCCCAGATACCAGACTTCCAATATGTTTAGAGTCTGTATTCGACTACAAAATCATATTTCAGAATAATATCTGCATCTCTGATATGAAAACAAATTCTTAAAAGAATGTTAATGTCCATGTATTGCAAGTTTGATTCACTTAGCAAAAAGGGTTGAATCAGTTTTAGAGGAGCATACTAAAAAAGTATTGTGAGAGTTAGAGTCCTTTATGAACCAAGTTTATATGAAGACCTTTTATATATATTTTTTCAGTTGTCTGTGGATCCTGGTTTGATCATTTCCTAAGTTGGGAAGAGCATAAAAATGAAAATAATATCCTTTTTTTGTTCTATGAAGACATGAAGAAGGTAAATATGCTTTTTGTTTTTACTTCAAAAAACATTACTTGTAAATCATGATAATTAAAATTTCAAAGAGCAAATTATAATGAAAAAGCACAAAGATGAATGTTGATGCATGTCTATGAATGCATTTTATATTTGCATAGAACTTTCTGTGTGAAACCAAACTTAGGTGAAATAATTCTAACTGCACATGCTGCATGAATAATGAAGACAAAAAAAAAAAAAAAGGCAAGGGGGAGGGTCATTACCCAGGCGTGTCTGACATTTTGGGTGAAACTTACAAAATGTGACACAAGACAGCAAATCTATCCATGCTCAAGGGAACATGTGCTCCCAATAAAGAAGCAAATCAGAACCTTGGGTGGGTGGGAGAGACATAGTTTTGGCAAAAGGAAATTATTATGTGGAAACTACTTTGCTATCCTTAAAACAGAATTGCAAATTGAACAAATTTCAGTTTCCAGAGAATGAATTTTTGAGTAAATGAATTTTTGAGTAAATATTTTCCAAAGTTTTGATTGAAGTAGTTTTGTTAATTTTTGTCAAAAATTTCCACTAGGAGGAGTACAAATTAGCCTGTTTTGGATCCCAAGTCAATTGGGACTTGATATGCAATAAAATGAAAATTCCTTCCATAACAACTAAAACTCTCCTCAGAACAGTAAAAAATTTATTTTTCTTGTACCTCAGGATCTCCCTAAGATTGTAAAGGACATCGCTGTATTCCTGGATGTAAAAATCAGTGATCATGAAATCCAAGATATTTGCAAGAAGTCGTCATTTTTGGAGATGAAAACAAACACAGAAAAAGAAAAGAGTCACCCCAATCATACTGTTTGTGCACTTACTTCCAACACGAAGCTGGTTTTCCGAAAAGGTAAGTGATCTTAACACCGCAAAAAAATTGCCATCTATCTCGAGCCATGGGCTGAAGTCCTTCCCCGACTACAACGAGGTTTTGGATCAGCCCCAGGAAGTGGCGGCAAGAGTCTTCAGATGAAGTCATCTTGAAAATCACTTTCTTTCTAAGTTCTCTGGTTGCAAGTTTATGCTTGTAGTTGAGAAAAAGAGAGGAGTCACAAGAGTTTAATACTGCTCTATATGAGCTTTTGTGCTGAAACAAGAGACTCACAGAACATTACTCTTTATTTGCCTTTTTTTTTTTAATCTGAAGTTTACCAGTATTTAAAAGCAACAACATGTTCCCTCCTGTATCACCTGCGAAGGCTGCTTAGTTTGCTGGAATGGAAAAGAGCTAGACACATTCCTTCTGTTATTAGTGTTCGCCTCTGTACTACCTGCTATCTGTTGAAACGTTCCTCAAAGCAGAATATGCTGACAACCAAAAAGCGTGAAAGAATGAATTAGTCGCTCACATGATGGCCTAATAGGAGGCACCTGTAAGACCTTGGCCAAACTCAAGCCACAGTCTGAAGAGTCTTCATGGGTGATGATCCAGCTCCTTCAAGCAGGGGCCCACCACACCTATGAAAACATTACTCATGATCAAGATCTAACAAAGAGACTGTGGCTAATAAAATAATAATAATTTGTGCCAACTGTGGCATAAGTAAGAATGGATTACCGCTAAAAGCACAATTAAAATATTTTTTTTGCACAAAATCACATAGTTCTTTTTCTGTTCCTGCTCTCCTAGGTACAGTTGGTGACTGGAAGAATTATTTCACTCCAAAGCAGAACTTGAGATTTGAGGAAATATTTAATGAGAAAATGAAACTGAGCAATATGGCAAAAGATCTCATCTACGAATTCTGACTTCGGGTGAAGAACTGCATCCAGTTATCAAGAGAGAGAGATCTAGTGGGAGAATTTGGAAGGGGACTAGCAGACTTTAGAAGAAAAGAAAAAATATGCCTTTGGAACAGATGCCAGAAAGTTGGAAGCAGCACTGAGGGACCCCATTTTTTTTATCTATCTTTTTTTTTATGTACAAATTTACCTCAGATTATCAACCAATCTTTCACACAGTCAAAAAATAAAAATGTGAGGAGGAGGAATCATGAGCTGGAGGTCTGAGGACAGGAACATTCTGACACAATCCCAGAAACGAACTCCGTTATCAGAGAACAGATATACATGGTGTCAGGCTCATTTTTCTACTGCTAAATCTCTCCCTCCTGCTTTTTTCTTTCTTTCTTTCTTCTTTTTTTTTTTTTCCTTATAGCATATGGCAACAACTGATGAAATTGTGAGTATTTAAGTAGTCTAAAAACACTTCAGAACAAAGTGACCAAAGATTTGACAATGCCTTCCTGATCTGGTATGATTTGGAAAGTGTCTATCTTATCAGATATTGTTACTGAGACTGAAATTGAAAACTGCTTCTGCACATTTGAATATCTGCAGTAAACTTTGTTTAAAAAAGGGGTCCTTTTTAATTCTATTTTACAAAATGTAGCTCTTTATCATAACTTATTTCTGGGTTAAGGACTGTATAGTGCTTATATCTTAAAGCAATTGATATAAATCCATGCATATTTCTGGACTGTATGTTGGGAATCTAGAAATAAATATATTTTTTCTTTCCAATGAGTTTCTTCCTGCAAAATGCCAGTTTCCAGTGCTTTTATGAGAACTTCTTTACTTCCCAGTTATTGTGCAATAGCATTCAACAGTTTTACTGTGGTGAACAAGCCAGAGCTCAGAGATAGCTTAATCTGAATGTGACATATTTACCATGTCTTGATAAGACAGGTCTTTCAAGAATCAGTTGCCAGTGTTCACATCCTAGGGACTGCTCCAGGAACTGTGAAGACTTTTCTTATTTTCTGTCTTTGGTTTCAATTTGCCTTGTGGACTGGCTTTATTGACTCTTATCTCCAAACTGCCTTTTCCTCCTGCCCAGCATCAACAGGAAGGAAAAAAAGACAGCAAAAGCAGGAAACTCATGCAAGAAAACTCTGCTCTGGCTTTGTGTGCTCTGGAAAAAGCAATGTAAGCACACCCTCTGCATAGGCTCTCTGAAAGGCTCTTGCATGGCCTTATTTATAGCGAACATAGATGTCCTATTCTCGCATCAGCCCCTTCATTTCCTATCATCTTGCTTGTGCAAGCAGGTATCAACATCTACAGATTTGGCATCTGCGCAAGTGATACAGAAGAGCTCAGTGAGAGAAAGGCCTGTTCAGCAGCAGTCCCTTGCCAGCTGGACACATTTCAAGGGAGAAGCTGCCCTGAGCAAATGTCTCATTGGGAATGTGATGCATGGCTCTCTGGCACCAAAATCTCTCGTTCTCTCTAAAATGCTGCGAACCATCCTTGCCGTGGATGCATCTTTAAGAGATAGCTTTCTCCTGCTACTGAGAGGTAGTAAGAGACTAGAGAATGAAAATATTTGAGCATCTTATTGCACTAATTTTTGCAGCCCTTTGGGGATAGAAGAAAGCAAAGTGTCCTTGTGCAAATTAGCAGTTGCAAAGGATTCCTTTAACCTAAGTTAGGCAGTGATATTTAAAGTCCAAATGAAAGGCTCAACAAGAAGCCTTTTAAGAAAACAGGAGTAATGATGTTAGGAGGACTGTTGAGTCACTGTCAAAGGCACAAAGAATAAGGTTTTTACTGTTTTTACTCCCCCCACAACTGAATTCAAGATATGCTTGAAATGGAAAAGCAAGCAAACCCAAACACAACCTCAAACAAATAATGGAAGGGAAAATAATAAAAGAGAAAAACAAGACTAACAAAACAAAGAGGCAGAGGAACGCAGATTTGTACTCCTTTAGAAAACCTTTATAAATATACTCATGCCAGGACTTGGTGTATGAAGGTCTGGGGGCATGCTACTTTGAACGACAAGGACAAGGGGGTTAAGTATGTAGCCCAGAATTGGCTGAAGAGGTAGGACTGGAATATAAGGTAATGAGTATTTTGCAAGCTGGCTGAACTCCAGCATTGCAGAGTTAATTGAACTCTCAGAATAAAGTTCATTTTAGTAACAGTTTGTGTTTATATGGCATGTTACATATCCAAGTGCTTTAAATATAGCTTTACCCAGGTGAGAAAATACAACCAACCTTGGAGTGCAGCAGCTAGTTGACAGTGAGTTATAGCTTGAGAAGGAAACTAACTGGTTGCTTAATGCTGTCAAGGCCAGTATATTAAAACTTGCCTATGTCAGAGGAAAAGAGTTATGTGAGCCACTGGCATCCAGGATCTCCCAGCGATTATCATTACCTTCGTTCTGTTTCCTCTTCCCCTTCCTAGGCATTCTCAGCAGTCTCACTCTGTAGGTCATTTTGGCAGGCCTTGGAGATTTTCAAAAGGTTTTCAAAACTTCCATACTAATAAATTAAAAAAAAAACCACAACAACTACTACAACAACAAAAATCTCCCCCTGCCTTTCATGTCTTTTCTTAAGCAGTTAAAACTTTTGGAGAGAGAGAAAATTCAGCCCTGCAAAATATAAAAATACTTGTCTGAATGTGCTTAGTCCAGTGCAATCCTTATTACATACAAATGGTTGCAAATTACTTTCCTGCTCAGTATGATGTGCCACCTTCCTGAGTATAGGCTCTTCCCCAGATCATTTGAATTAGGGAGAACGACATTAGACATTTATGCCACAGATCCTGGGATGTGCGGGCTCTAGCAACTCTTGTTGACAGTTTTCTGGTTTATGCTGATCTGGGCTTTGTGTCAAATGAGAATGAGAACAAAAGCATCTGAATGGCTGAAACACTTGGAAGGGGAACATGTGAATTCTAGGCCTTGCTTCAAGGACTTTTTCCTGACAACGTGGCACACTTATTTGCTAAAGTAGCTCTCAGAGCATCGAAAGTGCTCAGGTAAGCATCCTAACAACCTGACTTCAGTCACATTAGTTCTGATGCAATGAGTTTGATGCCTGGAGCAGTTTCTTGGAGGAAAACAGTGGCTGGGGAAAGATCTCTAGGAATACATCAAAAACAGCCTGTAAAAGCAGCAAGTCAGGCTGGAGAAGATGAGGGTAGAGAAGGAAGTGGAAGGAATCTGAGCTGGTTCTGGTAAACTTTGATACCAGAAGGCACAGGGAGCTACAGAAAACTCAGGGCAGGAGATCATGTATGGGTTTGTGCACTGGATTAATGTAGAGCAGAGGTGCCCAGGGGTTTGAGACAGGGCTATACTTGTTATTGTCTGTCACCTGGTTAACGTGCATGACCACAGCACTTGCTTAAAGAACAGCCAATGACAGAAACGACAGTGACAAGTCACAGTCTGAAAGCCAAGGCTGTTCCTTCACTGGAGCCTGCATGGGGATGGGAAGGGCAACAGGAGGAACCCAGCCTGCCCGGAAGGGCTGGGTCTGTGAGTGAACATGACTGCCGAAAGGAAATATTTACAAAAGCACGGTAGGTGCTCAATTGCTCTCTCACCAGTTTTAGCCTCCCAGGAGGCCACAATCTTACTTGCTTTGAAGGAACCAGCAGCTTCCTCTATGAGGAGTTTGCCTTAATGCTTCTATTAACTTTGAGAGCAGAAAGCCCTCCCTTTTTCCTGGGTCTACTTACACTCTCATGCCTATCATTGTGGACAACCTGTACTACAGGCAAGCAGTGGGCAGACAGGGACACAAGGTGGCTCTGGGCAATCTGCCGTGCCCCTTGCTGGCCTCCCTGGAAAGGCTCTTCCGGCAGGCCAAGCATAGAGGAGCGGCGGCACCTCGCGGCCCAGGGAGAGAGAGCAAGAGTGTCGGAAACCTGCTTGAGAGACAAGTGCGGCGACAGGAGTACACGAGTCACAAACTACATCGCCATGTATCCTCCTGGCCTCTGCGAAACTGGCCCCCCAGGCTGATACTCATCTGAGAAACAGCAGCCTTGGGAAGTGATTTCAGGTCCTGGGCACAAGGAATATTTATGCTCGGTCTGGGCTCCAGAGGCATCGAGCAAGCTCTGTATCAATACAGCAGCAAGTAGCACCGCTTCTCAAAGGAACGCAAGTGTTTCTTCTTCAGCATCTGTCAGCTCTAGTGTTATAACTGGAAAGCCCATACACATTTTGGCACATGCTTTCACAGGAGCTTGTGAGGGCCAAAAGCAGAAACAGGCTCTAAAAGGGAAAGACTCAGATTTGAGGGGAACAGGTCTCTCTGAATATCTATTGCCCACCCCAATGCAGAGCCTGCTTAAGAAATCCCCTTCATTTCTGACTGCCAAAATCCACAAGGAGCACCACATTAACCTGCACCACGGAGAGTCTACCAGACTCTACTAGCATATGTGAGAATATACTTGCCCGTTCCAGTGCTCAGGAGCAATAAAAGTAGATTTTCCCTTTCTGTCTGCAAGGCCCTGCACTAAAACAAAGGATAACTGGGGCTTTTTGTTCTCTCTGTCACTTGTGACCTTGGAGACTAAGGGATTTAATCCTCAAAGGGCCCTAATCCTCAAAGGGACTTCTTCCAGACAGCCAGGTAGGAATCACTGTGCTGAAGTTGGCTGTCAAGCTACTTCAAAGGGATGAGGAATTAGTCTATCTATAGCGTTGCCTGCTGGTTAAATTAAGGATTTACCTACATTACTATTAAAATAAAGGCACAGCAGGCCTTCATTGCCAGGTGAATGAAGCACAGGAGAAAACTAGATCATGTACCCATGTGCTAGCCAATCTCAGATGCCAGTGACAGCAGTTCTGCTGCAGCCCAGACGGAGCTCCCTTTGTTCTTGGCCAGGGCATCAGCAAAATGCGCCATAGGGACAGCTGGGCACAGATCCAGGCAGCTTGTTCTCTACGTTGCCATGCACAGGCCAGCATTTTTACCCTGAACTCCCCT